CATCCTCAATCTCCCGTTTTCCATCCCCCATCCTCAATCTCCCGTTTTCCATCCCCCATCCCCAATCTCCCGTTTTCCATCCCCCATCCCTAATCTCCCGTTTTCCATCCCCCATCCCCAATCTCCCGTTTTCCATCCCCCATCCCCAATCTCCCGTTTTCCATCCCCCATCCCCAATCTCCCGTTTTCCATCCCCCATCCCCAATCTCCCGTTTTCCATCCCCCATCCTCAATCTCCCGTTTTCCATCCCCCATCCCCAATCTCCTGTTTTCCATCCCCCATCCCTAATCTCCCGTTTTCCATCCCCCATCCCCAATCTCCCGTTTTCCATCCCCCATCCCCAATCTCCCGTTTTCCATCCCCCATCCCCAATCTCCCGTTTTCCATCCCCCCATCCCCAATCTCCCGTTTTCCATCCCCCATCCCCAATCTCCCGTTTTCCATCCCCCATCCCCAATCTCCCGTTTTCCATCCCCCATCCCCAATCTCCCGTTTTCCATCCCCCATCCCCAATCTCCCGTTTTCCATCCCCCATCCCCAATCTCCCGTTTTCCATCCCCCATCCCCAATCTCCCGTTTTCCATCCCCCATCCCCAATCTCCCGTTTTCCATCCCCCATCCCCAATCTCCCGTTTTCCATCCCCCATTCCCAATCTCCCGTTTTCCATCCCCCATCCCCAATCTCCCGTTTTCCATCCCCCATCCCCAATCTCCCGTTTTCCACCCTCCATCCCCAATCTCCCGTTTTCCATCCCCCATCCCTGATCTCCCGTTTTCCATCCCCCATCCCCGATCTCCCGTTTTCCATCCCCCATCCCCGATCTCCCGTTTTCCATCCCCCATCCCCAATCTCCCGTTTTCCATCCCCCATCCCCAATCTCCCGTTTTCCATCCCCCATCCCCAATCTCCCGTTTTCCATCCCCCATCCCCAATCTCCCGTTTTCCATCCCCGTCCCCAATCTCCCGTTTTCCATCCCCCGCCCCCAATCTCCCGTTTTCCATCCCCCATCCCCAATCTCCCGTTTTCCATCCCCCATCCCCAATCTCCCGTTTTCCATCCCCCATCCCCAATCTCCCGTTTTCCATCCCCCATCCCCAATCTCCCGTTTTCCATCCCCCATCCCCAATCTCCCGTTTTCCATCCCCCATCCCCAATCTCCCGTTTTCCATCCCCCATCCCCAATCTCCCGTTTTCCATCCCCCATCCCCAATCTCCCGTTTTCCATCCCCCATCCCCAATCTCCCGTTTTGCATCCTCCATCCCCAATCTCCCGTTTTCCATCCCCCGTCCCCAATCTCCCGTTTTCCATCCCCCATCCCCAATCTCCCGTTTTCCATCCCCCATCCCCAATCTCCCGTTTTCCATCCCCCATCCCCAATCTCCCGTTTTCCATCCCCCATCCCTAATCTCCCGTTTTCCATCCCCCATCCCCAATCTCCCGTTTTCCATCCCCCATCCCCAATCTCCCGTTTTCCATCCCCCGTCCCCAATCTCCCGTTTTCCATCCCCCGTCCCCAATCTCCCGTTTTCCATCCCCCATCCCCAATCTCCCGTTTTCCATCCCCCATCCCCAATCTCCCGTTTTCTATCCCCCATCCCCAATCTCCCGTTTTCCATCTCCCATCCCCAATCTCCCGTTTTCCACCCTCCATCCCCAATCTCCCGTTTTCCATCCCCCATTCCCAATCTCCCGTTTTCCATCCCCCATCCCCAATCTCCCGTTTTCCATCCCCCATCCCCAATCTCCCGTTTTCCACCCTCCATCCCCAATCTCCCGTTTTCCATCCCCCATTCCCAATCTCCCGTTTTCCATCCCCCATCCCCAATCTCCCGTTTTCCATCCCTCATCCCCAATCTCCCGTTTTCCATCCCCCATCCCCAATCTCCCGTTTCCCATCCCCCATCCCCAATCTCCCGTTTTCCATCCCCCATCCCCAATCTCCCGTTTTCCATCCCCCATCCCCAATCTCCCGTTTTCCATCCCCCATCCCCAATCTCCCGTTTTCCATCCCCCATCCCCAATCTCCCGTTTTCCATCCCCCATCCCCAATCTCCCGTTTTCTATCCCCCATCCCCAATCTCCCGTTTTCCATCCCCCATCCCCAATCTCCCATTTTCCACCCTCCATCCCCAATCTCCCGTTTTCCATCCCCCATTCCCAGTCTCCCGTTTTCCATCCCCCATCCCCAATCTGCCGTTTTCCATCCCCCATCCCCAATCTCCCGTTTTCCATCCCCCATCCCCAATCTCCCGTTTTCCATCCCCCATCCCCAATCTCCCGTTTTCCATCCCCATCTCCAATCTCCCGTTTTCCATCCCCCGTCCCCAATCTCCCGTTTTCCCTCCCCCGTCCCCAATCTCCCGTTTTCCATCCCCCATCCCCAATCTCCCGTTTTCCATCCCCCATCCCCAATCTCCCGTTTTCCATCCCCCATCCCCAATCTCCCGTTTTCCATCCCTCATCCCCAATCTCCCGTTTTCCATCCCCCATCCCCAATCTCCCGTTTTCCATCCCCCATCCCCAATCTCCCGTTTTCCATCCCCCATCCCCAATCTCCCGTTTTCCATCCCCCATCCCCAATCTCCCGTTTTCCATCCCCCATCCCCAATCTCCCGTTTTCCATCCCCCATCCCCAATCTCCCGTTTTCCATCCCCCATCCCCAATCTCCCGTTTTCTATCCCCCATCCCCAATCTCCCGTTTTCCATCCCCCATCCCCAATCTCCCATTTTCCACCCTCCATCCCCAATCTCCCGTTTTCCATCCCCCATTCCCAATCTCCCGTTTTCCATCCCCCATCCCCAATCTCCCGTTTTCCATCCCCCATCCCCAATCTCCCGTTTTCCATCCCCCATCCCCAATCTCCCGTTTTCCATCCCCCATCCCCAATCTCCCGTTTTCCATCCCCATCTCCAATCTCCCGTTTTCCATCCCCCGTCCCCAATCTCCCGTTTTCCCTCCCCCGTCCCCAGTCTCCCGTTTTCCATCCCCCATCCCCAATCTCCCGTTTTCCATTCCCCATCCCCAATCTCCCGTTTTCCATCCCCCATCCCCAATCTCCCGTTTTCCATCCCCCATCCCCAATCTCCCGTTTTCCATCCCCCATCCCCAATCTCCCGTTTTCCATCCGCCATCCTCAATCTCCCGTTTTCCATCCGCCATCCCCAATCTCCCGTTTTCCATCCCCCGTCCTTAATCTCCCGTTTTCCATCCCCGTCCCCAATCTCCCGTTTTCCATCCCCCGTCCCCAATCTCCCGTTTTCCATCCCCCGTCCCCAATCTCCCGTTTTCCATCCCCCATCCCCAATCTCCCGTTTTCCATCCCCCATCCCCAATCTCCCGTTTTCCATCCCCCATCCCCAATCTCCCGTTTTCCATTCCCCATCCCCAATCTCCCGTTTTCCATCCCCCATCCCCAATCTCCCGTTTTCCATCCCCCATCCCCAATCTCCCGTTTTCCATCCCCCATCCCCAATCTCCCGTTTTCCATCCCCCATCCCCGATCTCCTGTTTTCCATCCCCCGTCCCCGATCTCCCGTTTTCCATCCCCCGTCCCCGATTTCCCGTTTTCCATCCCCCGTCCCCGATCTCCCGTTTTCCATCCCCCGTCCCCAATCTCCCGTTTTCCATCCCCCATCCCCAATCTCCCGTTTTCCATCCCCCATCCCCGATCTCCCGTTTTCCATCCCCCGTCCCCGATCTCCCGTTTTCCATCCCCCATCCCCAATCTCCCGTTTTCCATCCCCCATCCCCAATCTCCCGTTTTCCATCCCCCATCCCCAATCTCCCGTTTTCCATCCCCCATCCCCAATCTCCCGTTTTTCATCCCCCATCCCCGATCTCCCGTTTTCCATCCCCCGTCCCCGATCTCCCGTTTTCCATCCCCCGTCCCCGATTTCCCGTTTTCCATCCCCCGTCCCCGATCTCCCGTTTTCCATCCCCCGTCCCCAATCTCCCGTTCTCCATCCCCCATCCCCAATCTCCCGTTTTCCATCCCCCATCCCCGATCTCCCGTTTTCCATCCCCCGTCCCCGATCTCCCGTTTTCCATCCCCTGTGTGCAGTGGTATGTTCTTTGTCACAAGTGGGGGCGGTTCCAAGGTGGATCGGAATCGCACAGTGACCGGTGACAACAATTCCATGTTCTACCATTCTCGACAAGGCTTTGTTTCTGCAAGTGTAACGCAGCAATCCTTCACAATCAAATTCCATGACATGTTTGGGGTTAGCCTCTATACAATGACCACCTCCAAGGATCCTCAGTGATAAATGCCTTTTACACCGTGCCCTCGCCAATTTCACACCCCCGGAGATTTTCCATAAATCACCCTTTGACCATATTTGGCTATAGGGATCAGATCGGACATTCAGGAGCTAAAGGCTTATTCGTGACATTGTTTAGTGTCGATCTCACGATACTCAGTGGCTGCAGTGCATATGGTAGACTGGATCTTCTCCTATAGACAGATTGACAAGTGCAAGCCACTCGCTTCCCTTGGTGTCAATTCCACAAAAAGAAAATGCAGGCTAGAGCGCATCTTCTGTTCACACCACTAGCTTGTTTCCCGATTCAGTCTGTACTTTGCATGCTAAGCTAATCTTCATAGGTATGTCAAGTGATGGAATTACTTTGTGATGGACTAGATTGATTCATGCAAGGTGATTATGGTTTCCAATGCCAATGACTTTCTCCACCATATGCTCGAACATTTGAACATACTCTCTGGTTTGCGCTGCAGTGGTTCGTATGTACAGTTGACTGATATTATTTTATTTAATGGTTTGTTCAGGGACGTATCGCGCACATGACAGCGCGCTGCCTCGAAGGCGGAAAGGTGTCAGTGACATGCGCACATCATGGTTACCCTTCGCATAAGCTACTCTTGGTCGCTCTAACGTTCTGGCGAAAACATAAAATCCTCGTCGAACCTTACAGCCGCGCCGCTGACTCCATCACGTTCCGCAAGTTCCCCCCCATTTTGCTGAAAGCGCTGGCAGGCTTTCCCCCGCCTGTCAGCACATTGCCGTGGTGCGGCGTCCCCTTTGGAGTTGCCGAACTCACTTCTCACTTGTCTTGTGACTTGTCCCCTCCTCCTCCTTCCGCTCCAGCGGCATCTCTCCAACCAGGCAATCCTGGAAACCTTCCTGCAATCCTTCGCATCCCTCCCAGTTTCTCAGCTCAATCAGCAAGTTTCCTCCAACACTCCCCTCTGCAGATTCATTGTCAGCTTTTTGTTTTAGCTCGGCGTTTTTTATGGCTATGGCTTCCTTCGCGTCGCCTCGTCCTTAGTGGTGCTTAATCACGGAGTATCTGAGTAGCACTAATATCGAATATTGATATTCTCCGTGAACACGGCTGGCTGTAGGCAACTTCGTGCTTCCTGGTGCGTTCTTACGGAATCGACACAACACGAAGCTGATTGTTGGTGAACGATCTGCTCGAGTTATCATATAGCAAACCTGCACGCCGAAAAGGACGTCGCTGCTTGAGTTTCTTCGCAAAATGACGTCGCTGCGACATGGAGGCTGCGACGCCACTGCGAAAAGTCTATTTCTCCCATCCACGTCGTTTTTTCAGCGCAAATCACTCGCCACGCGGCACGTGCTAGTTTGGTGGATTGAAGACTAGCGGATCGGAGTGTTTCGTTTACGGCTGCGAAGTTGCTGCTAAGTAGCTATTTCTCTCGACCACGTCGTTTCTTCTGTGCATCTTGTTAGCGACGCGACACTCGCTGTTTGCGACGCTTCATGTGCTACTTGCGACGCTGGACCTGCCGCGTGCGACGCTCGACCTGCTACTTGCGACGCTCGACCAACCATTTGCGACGCTCGACCTGCTAATTGAGACGTTATACCTGCTACCCTGCGTCGCTCGACCTGCTACTCGAGACGCGGATCCTAGAGGCCGTCGCGGATTCAAGAGGCCCTCGCGGATCGAAAGGGACGGACCTTTCTCTTAAGAGACCGTTGCGGATCCAAGAGGCCGTTGCGGATTGAAGAGACCGTTGCGGATCCAAGAGGCCGTCGCGGATTGAAGAGACCGTCGCGGATGCAAGAGGCCGCCGCGGATGCAAGAGGCCGCCGCGGATGCAAGAGGCTGTCGCGGATCGAAATAGACCTACTTGCGTTGCGCCAGGTGAAGCTGCGTTCCCTCCAAGCTAGTAATGACCCTCCCTTCTCTGCGAGCTCATGACGATGTTTCCTGCGTTTCCAGGGACGGACCTTTCTCTGTCCAGACTTTTTCCGTTTTCATTTCTTCGTCTTATTTCATTATCTTAATAAACTACGTGGTTTCAATTGCAGTGATTGAAGAGACTTTGTGGGTCGAAGAGACATGCGCGGATGGAAGAGACACGCGCGGATGGAAGAGACACGCGCGGATGGAAGAGACATGCTGCTGGCGGATGGAAGAGACATGCTGCTGGCGGATGGAAGAGACATGCTGCTGGCGGATGGAAGAGACATGCGCGGTGGAGGCGGTGCTGCTGGCGGATGGAGCGAGGCGAGAAGGCAGAGAGAGGCAAAGGCGGATCGCACGAGGCGGATGGAGGGGCTGGCGTGGTGAAGGTGGTGTGATTCTGGCCTGCAGCCACGCGAGGCAACGATCAGCTGCAGCCGACAACCAAAGCAACTGAGTTTCCTTACCCTCGCCTCCTCACTCTCTCTCTCTTTGTCTTGGATTTTTTCACCGATGCTCTTGATAGAGGCGACACCCACGACCACGACCTTCTCCGGATGTGAGTGACTGAGTTCTCTTGAGCCGTTTACTCGCTCTCCTGAGCTCTCTCGCTGTCTTATTCCTTGCCTCCAATGCTTTCATCGACGCTCTTGATAGAGGCGACACGCACGGCCAGCACCCTCTCTGGACGTGAGTGCATCATCAGGTTTGCAAGGTTAACCCTTGGTAAAACATAAGGTCCCCCTGGTTCAAACTTGGTACAACAGAAGGTCCCCTTGGTTAACCCTTCAAACGCTGCTGCTTTTTTCTCATTGCTGTTCTTGCTTGCGATTATTTCTAACTTGTTTGTGTTTGTCATTGTTGCTGTCTCAATCTTGTTTGGCATTGCTGCAGTCTCCTTGTTTGGTGCACTTGTCTTGGTGCCTTGTTCATCCATGTATCCATCTACTTATCTCCCATGGCTCTTCCTGCCTCCCATGGCTCCTTGGCAGGACAATCTTGAGGGCGGTGCGTGCACGGTGTGTGCACGGGGAGAGGACAATGCAAACGGCGCGCATGCAAGGGGAGGGCGAGCGTGGTGGGATGACGCACGGCCGGCAGCCACGGGCGCGTGTGGCTGCCTCTACCCGCCCTGCTGACCACCCATGTGCGAAGGCGAGGAGGCGGTGCTGTTGGTGGAGGGAGCGATCTGCTGCATTCGACCTTCAGACCCACTGAGTTCCCTTGCCCTCCGCTCGTTTCTCTCTGTCTTGAGCTCTCTCGCTGTCGTTCTTTTTGTCTCTGAATTTCCATCGACACTCAATCGAGGCGACACCCGCAACCACCACCACCTCCTCTGGAAGTGAGTGAGACATCAGGTTACCCCTTGGTAAAAAACAGAAGGTCCCCCCGGTTACCTCTCTTGTTCTCTCTCGTCAATCGTCGATCTGTATTCTGCTAGTCGTGTTTGCCTTTCATTCTTGTTTGCCACTCATTCTTGTTTTCCAGTCATACTTGTTTGCCTTTTATTCTTGTTTGCCATTCATTCTTGTTTGCCACTCATTCTTGTTTTCCATGCATACATGTTTGCCTTTCATTCTTGTTTGCCATTCATTCTTGTTTGCCATTCGTTCTCTCCGCTCTCATGTTTCCTAATCTCTCGCCCATGGCGAGTTCCGTTCTGTATCCTCTCTCTGTGTTTGTTGCTCCCCATGCAGAGCCAGCAGAGGGCGGCAGTGGGATGACGCACGTCAGGCAACACTGCTGCTGTCCGTCCTGCTGACCACTGCTCGCCTCTCAGGGAGCAGAGCACACTCAACGAGAACGCATGCAACGGAGGCATACGGGCCGTGGGTGGCGCGCATGCATCCCGGATGGACGAGCGCTCGTGGTGGGATGACGCACGGCCGGCAGCCACAGGCGTGTGGCTGCCTCTACCCGCCCTGCTGACCAACCGTGTGCGAGGGCGAGGAGGCGGTGCTGCTGGTGAAGGCGGGTTCCATTCTGGTGCAGTCGATAACGACTCTAATTGAGTTTCCTTACCCCCGCCTCTTTACTCTGTCTCTTAATCTCTTTGTCATTCATTCTCGTTTGTCTTTGGATTTTTCATCGACACTCTTGGCAGCAACGACCTTCTCTGGATGTGAGCTCTCTTGAGCCCTTTACTCTCTTTCTTGAGCTCGTGACAAGGCAAGGCGAGGTGAGGCGAGTTGGAGAGAGGCAGTGTGGAGCGCAATCTCCCCTGGGGGCGGATTGAGCGAGGCTCTTTCAGGAGGATCCAAGGCGCAGCGGATCCAGCGGGAGAGGAGCGAGCTCAAGGACTTGGTCTGGTGGGTGGGTGCATGGTGCTGCTCTGGTATGTATGTGCTGGACTGGATTCTATGGTGCTCACGGATGGAGCAAGCGATATGCGGCTGGAGGACCCAAGGCCCGGTGGATGCAACGAGGATGGACGCATCCTGCCACTCATTGAGAGAGGTGAGATGCTTGTGGCGCAACGAGAGGTTGTTTGTGGCGCAACGTGATGGGACGACGCACGGCCGGCAGCCACGTGCATGTGGCTGCCTCCTACCCGCCCTGCTGACCACCCGCTTGCTGGCGGCTCGCGAGGCGAGGCGGATGGAGCAAGGATGGAGCGAACGAAGCTTGTCTTTGCCCATGCGTGTGCTCTGCACCTGCTGCACCCTTGGGGTGAGGTGGAGGTGTGAGAGGGAGCGGTTGACGGGTTGGAAGAGGAGGAACTTGGAGAGGGATGATGTCGTATGTGGAAGGGGACTAAAGCTGCGGGAAGAGTGTGTCGGGGTGATCCTTTGATTGGGGGGTGGCTCCCCCTCTCGTTGGCTCTCACTCTCCCTCTTGCCGAGCGGAGCTGTGGGAAGAGTGTGTCGGGGTGATGTTACTTGCGATTGTGGGTTGGCCCCCCCTTTCGTTAGTTCCCACTCTCCCTCTTGCCCAGCTGAGCCCCGGCGCGGTAAGCGTGTGTCGGGATGCGTTGCTTCGATTGGGGGCTGGCCACCTTCGATTGGGGTTTCTCATCCTCCCGCTTGCCCCACCGTTGGCTCCTCCTCCCTGACCATTTACTTCAGTACCCTCTTCCCGGTAACTCCTCTTTCGGTCTCTGACGCCCTCCTGATCAGCACTCCTCTTTTCGTCAACGCTGGACGTGAGTGCAACGCCTACGGCCACCTTCTCTGGACGTGAGTGCAACGCTACGGCCACCTTCTCTGCATGTGAGTGCAACGCCCACAGCCACCTGCTCTGGATGTGAGTGCAACATCACGCCCTCCTGATCAGCTCTCTTTCCTTCGCCCTTTCTCGTTCCCTTCCCTTAACACCGTCACGTGGAGCGAGGAGGGCGAGGAGGCTTCGATCCCCTTCTGTAAGTTTGCATTCCGCTTTTGGCTTCCGCTTTCGTTTCCACCGTCTAATGCTGTTTGCTTTCTCATGTTTTAATCAGACAGCAAGGCATGGTCGGAGTTGAGGAGATGGAGAGAGCGCGGTGCGGTGGGGTGCGGTGCCAGCAGACGGCAGCAGTGGAGGGAGGAGGATGGAGCAGCAGCTGCCACCAGAGACGCCCTACTTTCAGAAGGGTGTATGGGGCTGATGGAAACCACTTCGTTAGTTTCTTGTTTTTTCCTTGTCGCATGTTTTGTTTTCCTTTAACATTCTGTTTCTTTTCACTTGACCCTTCACCAGCAACTCATCTTTCCTCCTTAGCTTCCTCCTCTTGCATTGCTGTGTTGCTACAGGTCGTGGCGTGGCGGGAGAGGATGGCAGCAGCACGAGAGGCGCGGCATACTCGGGAGGGAGGATGGAGGCGGGTTGAAGCGGAGGGGGATGGAGCAACCTGCTCCAGCAACGCCTTCTTTTAGAAGGGAGTAGCAATTTAGTTCGTTTCTAGTTCTCCTGTTTGTTTTCCTGTTTGTTTTCCTCATCGCAAGTTTTCGCTTGTGTTTTGCATTCCGTTTTCACTTAACCCTTCACCAGCAACTCATCTTTCCTCCTTAGCTTCCTCCTCCTTCATTCCCGTGTTGCTATAGGACGCGGCATGGCGGATTGGAGAGCTGGAGAGGACAGCAGGAGC